CTCTCCTCGCCGTGACGTCACCCCGGTTCGCCGTAAGGGGGCGCCAGGCGAACTTCTCGGGGCTAATAGTATGCTAACTATAGTTATGCCCAACTTCAAGACTCAAACCAAATTTGACGTTCGTGTTTAGGCAGCGTGAGGTCGGTCTGACTTTGACGTATCGCGACACTGCATGATTTACGTTGTCGATGAGACAGCTAGCCAGTGCGCAGTACTAGTACAAGCCTGGGGTCTTTAACGCGCATCACGCAGTAGCAGTACACGACCGTATATACGCCGGTACGATATGCTTATCCAGATCGAAACGGGCGGGGGCAGGGATTGAGCCCAGGGCCCCTACGGTTTTGCAGCGCGAGCCTTCGTTCCACGTGCTCCGAGTTGCGGTGCGCTAATGCACTCGGCCACCGATCCTTCCGCAAAAAATATACAATTTGCGCGACTCTTGCGATGCTCTGAGTGACTGCTTTCCAAGTACACATCGCGACACTGTTAGCGCGAACACGACATCGGCGCATTATCCAATTTTACTTCTAAATAGTATCAGCGAGCACAAAATTTTATCGCTGACATTGTAGAACTAAATGAGCTCTTTTCGTAGCTATAATAACTTGGATGACATCTCTTGGTTTCAAAGAGAAAAACTGGAAAAGCCGGCGATCGCTTGTTCGCGCCAACAGTGTCGCGCTCTGTACAATACGGGTCAGCGGGAAAAGGCTATGGCCACGGGTTTTTGGTTCCAGGAAGGTGTTTTATGAGCTGACTTTCTCCAGAAGGGTCATACAGTTAATGCCAGTACTATTTCAGCTTGCTAGGAGCGTTTTCCTTTTTTTTTTTTTTTTTGCAAAGGATTGTTTTTGTTTACAGATCTGCCAAGATGATACAGGCTATGTTGTCGAGATGACGTGTAAAAACGCTAAGTTTGGAACCCATTCTTTGAACTGTTTTAGCAAATCAAGAGATAAAAGTCTGTGGACATTACTTTATTAAATGTGTCTTTATTTGCCTTTGGGATCATCCTGGATGTATCGCCATGAGGCAGGAACTGCAGGCAAAGCAAAGGGTCAGATTGAGTGTTACGGCTCATATTTTTCGGGGGTTTGGAAGAAGGGGGCGGGATACATTTATTACACATTCCGGTGTTAAAACCTTTTTCTTCTTTTCGTTTCTCCCTTTACTGTTATGAACTTAAACTCTTATGGCTCCTTCTTTAGGGGGAAGAGCTCTGTATAGTTCATTTACGTGTAGTTTATTAAATCGTTTCTTACGTTGTGCACTTTCCAAGCCGCATGCAGCAAGATGACATACCTGACATATCGCGCATGCCACCGCAAAATCACCGCAACTTCTAACTGTCCACAAATATATATAAATACACACACGGCCTGAACACCTCTTAGAACCGTGCCAAGGATATACCGTTCTCCTTCTTTCCCTGCGCTTGCGAGCGTAGTTGCTTGTGATCTTGCAGACTTGAAGGAAGTTGCGGGGAGGACGATTTTTACGGTTGAGGAGAGATTTGTTGGTCAAACATCCGCCACGAAAATAAGTGCCTTGCAAGCCCAGCGTTTACGCTGTCACTGCGAGCTAAAATGTCTTCCTAGTATTATGCCCTTCACCACGCTAAAAGGGCAGTTCAAAATAGTTGCTAAAGCTGTTTCAGGAACGTTCAGACCTTAACCGTTTTATTAGTGTTGCTACTCTGTGGCGTTAGTCTCATGAGAGACCATACAAATGAAGTCATTTTTGATATATAGACCCCGTTAATAAGAATACCCCGCTACACATATAAACATTAGTAAACTTTATAAACGATTTTTTTTATGGGAAGGGGGGGGGGGGGGAGGGAGGAAGGTGGTGTCCATATGAACGACACGCAACTGTAGAATTTTTTTTTTTTTTGTGCAAAAACACTACGGTAGTTTTTAGATATAATTCGATGTGTCTAAGAAAAAGAGGAAGTTCATGAATATTAGTACGGAGTCGATGTGCTCATATTCATAGTACGCCAGCCGATTGCGTTTCGATTGCTACGAGTCGTCGAACCGATGGCGAAATATATTATTGCCAATACTGCTCAGACGTAAGCCGTTCGTTATACCTTTATAGAACTTCATTAGTTTAAGGATTAAAACTACAATTCGAAAATAAATATTGCAACGAGGGAAAAAACTATTACGCGAGCTTTTGATCATGTTGACAAATACCAAGGAACACAGAATGTGTACCGCACAAACCACACACATACTTATCTTTTTTATAGTTTTTACTTGATTTTATTTAAATTTTTATTTTCCCTTTTTTTTAAGGTTCTTCTTTAATTCCCTCTTTCCATCCTTTTCTCCGTTCTTGTTATTCTGTCAAGGCGTACACGTTTCAAACGCCAAGGGCATCGTTTCTCCTTCCGACAACCAAATCTTGTAAGAACTACTTCGTGCAGCGCATGGACTATGTGCAGAACACTCTGGACACAGACTACACTCAATCCCACGCCACTCTAACCAAGACGTCATGTGACGCAACGTGACGTCATTCTACGACTCACACGCAACACACCTCGGGATCCGCTGCAATACCTCGCCAAAATAATGGCTGTTGCAGTAAAAGAAAAAAAGAAAAAAGCAAAATGTTTGGCCTTTGTTTTTAAAAAGTAAAGAGATGTGAAATAAGCTTTGCGCCCCATAACATCACTGACCCCAGTTTCTGTTTTTTTTCCTCTTTTTTTTTCGTTCACGTTTTTTCTTTTTCTTTTTTGGCTTGGGGCGCACGTTTTTGTTGGTAGCACAAACAAAGTCTGCTGTCCATGTTTATTGTCCGACAATTTCCAGTTTTCGGACAAAGCAATCCACGAAGTACCACTGGGACATCAGGCCACGCAACTCCAAATAAGTCCCCCTCCCCCCGGTACTTCGATGTGGATGTGTGACTGAACCCATAAGAACCGGATGACATCTCTAGCCATGCCGATATCTTGCGCAGTCTTAGCAACCCAGCTCGGTCACTCATAGGAGTCATAGCCCCTCGGTGTGATTGTGAATCTTATCCAGGGGTGTAACTATAGAGACTACACTCGGCGCGCTCACGACCCCTCTCGCGAGGTGAAAAGCTGGCATGCTCGAAGAGGGTTTGCCTCGCACATGTCTCCAGACAGCTTTCGTATAAACCGATATGACAGAACCGACATGCAAGAAGAAGGAAACACGCGGATTCGGAGCAAGCGTCTCTTCCATTGCATTTGAATGGCTCTTTAGAGTTTAGGTTCAGTCGGATGCAAAGAAGCATATATGAATTGTTCGAGCAAATAAACGAATGGCGAGAACTATATATAGCAATTCTGCTCTTGCCCATACCTTCTAGCCAACTTTGCTAAAGCTTTTTTTTTTCTTTTTTTTTTTTCGCGGTTCATGCAGTTTTGTTTTTAAACTTTAACGTCGACGGCTTATTAATTTCAAAATACTCCTATAAGATCTCAAGCACGCTCACACGTGAGCCGTTACATGGGCCTTGTTTGATCATTAGCGCTACGCATTAATAATGGAAAGTATATGCAACGCGACGGGTGAAGAAAATTGTCGTAAAATTTGCGATCTAAAACTCGATAGGGAGCATATTTTCTGCAAAAGTGGGCTATCCTCCAACGTTAATATTATCAAAATTTTCAGTTACTTTTATTTTTATCTTAAGCGAGCTTGTAAGTAAAGTGCGACGTCGTAATATTCGAACGTGATCGTGTCATCGCAAGGGCTATTGGGCGCTCACTTTGGGCTTGCATTACCTTTATACCGCTAGTCTAACCTAACGCACACGGGGCTTCAGCAAGCCCCACCATCTTGTACGCTACTTGGACAGTTTGTTGGCGCTCCTCAATTTTCGTTGCAGCCCTCTGCATACTTCCAATAAAGAAAAAAAAGCTATCAATTCCGGCTATATTAAATAAAAGCTTTAAGGAAGAGAAAGCAAGTACAAAGTTAGTGCGAACGAATGAGTGTTGGTTTCTCCAGTCCCTGTTTCTCATTCCTGAGTCATACCTGACGGCTGCCGTGATTGCATTCACGCCAAGAACATCCCAAGAATTGATCCGGGGCACCAATTATTACTGAATAAGACGTGCGAAAGCGCCGATGTCTTGTTCCTACTGACTGACGGCACTTGTACCTCGCTGTGAGTGATTAACAGGTGAATCCTTCAGTATAAACCGTATTGCGGAAGCAGTGGCATTGCATGCGGGATGAGCCACGCGCTCTTGAAAGAATTGCGCGTACGGCAGCAACGTGACAAATCTAGCGCCTTGTTTTATCTTCGTCGTTTCAAGTTCCACATGTACAGAGCGTGAGGTAACTTTATTCTAGCCACTTGGAAAGCACAGAGAGAAGACACGCATGTCGATTAAACTACAAAGAGAGAGATAGAGGGGGGGGGGGGGAGAGAAAAAGAGAGAAGCTCCCGATGAGCGAGTGAAAAATTCCCCAAGTAAACAAGCAGTAGCAATGGCGACGTCCGACTCTCCCCTTATCCAACACCCCCGCCGTTATCTCAAGGTAAGAATCCGTACTCCAGCCTAGACTCAACGGCACGCAATGCGAGAAATGCAAGCGACGCCTCGCGCCATCTGTCGGCGCGTTCCGACACCGCCGCCGTGACGAGCAACACACCTCTGCGGCGCACGCAGCGCCTAACACAAACGCACCTGTCGGACGTTATAGCGCTCGTGCATACATTGCACACACACACGAACAGGCGCACGGTTATGCACCGCGCGGATACGGGAGTGCTCCGCTGGACGTCGCACAGGCGGAATCGCCCCACCCGCGGTCGTGTTACAGTTATCTCGGGTTTCGGACATTACCCGCTGGTGACAAGGCAAATATCGCTTGCCGCGCTAGAATAATATGGCGGCGCGGTCGGTGCCGCGCTAGAAGGATATGGCGGCGCGATATGTGAGTGTCGACTGAAGATATCAAGCGATCACAATGGGTATTTTTTTTTTCCTGAGCTCCTAATCAGATAAGAACAAAAATATCAATCTTTACTTTTTCTTCTTTTTTTACTGGAGATAAGCGGATGAAAAGGAGAGACTAGGGAGTCCCTGACACGTGCGTGACATACTCGATCGAGACACGGCTTGGGACGCGGTTCTGTCGCTTGCGTGATCGGAATTTCGTTGCACGTGCGGTCGGACTCAACTGCTGCGTTTTTTGGTGGATTCTTGTGATTTAGCGGTTTTTCGGCAGACCTCGGAGGCGCCTCCATGCAGCGGCAAGTCGGCCGCGGCTTCGTCTGTTTGTGGTCCCAGATACGTTGTGTGTGTGGCCGTGATACAGATTGAAACGGGGTCAGAGCAACACGATGACATCTGTCCTGTTCGACCCACTGGAGGTAAGTTTTTCTTTTTATATACATATATATATATATATATTTTTTTTTTTTTTTTTTGCAGGTGCATGCGTTTGGCTTTTATTCTAGTTTGAGCGTCATGTCCCCAAAGCTGAGAATGTTTATTCCAGACAGGATAAGTAAATTGAGTATTTTTTTTTATAATAACAAATATATATCTATGTTTATGCGATTGGTCTGGCCTGCTTGAATACAGAAATGAAAGTTTGGGTCGACAACTTTTTGGAATATGCCTTACATTTCTTCGCTGCCCGTGGTTTAAAATGTTGAAAGGATACTATGGCGATCCGCACTACATGTGTTTTTACCTTTCTTAGTTTTTCTGCATTTAACTTTAAAGTTTGAAAGACAGTTTGCATATTAAGGTTGATTTTCTGATCTAATCAAAGGGACTGGAAAATAAAGCAGAAACTGTTTCTGTTACCGTAGCTGCGGGGACGATTAAATAATTCTCAAGGTGCCGTTTTGTGCTTCCAAGAAACGTAAGCTCCACTAACTGCCCTCCGCACTCCACATGAATTTGAAGAGCAAAAATTTGTTATCCTAGTCAGTCTACGTAACAAAATTTGAGGGTTTCAAACAACTTAAAAAGAAACCAGTCTTCAACATTCCCAGCTTAATTGTGGAACGAAATCTGCGAAACTTTTCAAGCAAAAATCAACGCAGAAGTTGCTGATACGTGTATGCACTTACTTTGGTCGAATCGTCTGCCAAATATTTTGAAACTGCTTAAATTGTATTATTAAAGAAGTTTTGGTTCAATTGAAAATGTATTGTTGCATGTGATAGTTCAGATTGAAATTTTGCATCAGAGAAGATCAATCCAGTTTCGTATATTTCTTTGAGCGATTACAATACGACGAAAGTTCGATATTATATAACGATTCCTATATAAAAGTTTCTTCCGGACTGCATATGAAATTGTGATGACTTAGCGTAAATCACGGTTTAAATTTTGACTTGATTATTTATGATTTGCATAAGCATTCTGGCAAATTAAAAAAAAAAAAGAACCTTCGCTATCGTTTGCTAATACATGTTTGTCAAAGTTTGATTTGTAAGGTTTGGTTCTAGAGTTCAATATAATTTCTGAGGTATTTTGCCAAAATACGCGTAAAATAAAAAGGTAAACAAATACCTTCAGTATTTTTTGCTAGTACGTGTTTTGCCTCAGTTTGATTTGTAAAGTTTTGTTCTAGAGTTTACTGTAATCTTGGGGGCGTGCAACTAAAATGCGCTCAGAATAAAGAGGCAACAGCGAATAAGTTCGTGAGCGCAGTTTTTGTATACCTCAGTACCGTATAAAGTAAGACGCAGAATGCTATTGCACAAAAACAAGCGTTGGGTGTTACGGTGTTTGACCTTGATTTTTTTCACGTTTATTTATGATTCTTTATTTCCTTTTAATGGGAAGATGGAAGCAGTTGAAGAACATTATTTCCGGAATATAACACGCGTTCGCACTTCTCCACTTGACAGATTAAGTGTCATCATTGATTTCAAAGTGCGAGTATATGTATAACAAAGTGTGTGCTCAGCACAGTATAGTACATGCTGAATGAGAGCGGAAATAAGTGCATACTTTTTGTGAATTGGTAACGAAATACTTCGTAAAGAGTTAAAATGTTAGCCTCGACAAAATGGACAGCGAGAAAAAGGACAAAGACAGGACAACGCATATTCTTCTCAGTCCTTCATGTCGCTCTTATTTTATTGTTCAAATGTTAGTTTAACGTTTCGTAAAACTAACATTCCGAGTTGTTACTTAGCGTTAAAGTAAATTGAAACTATATGCTTGCCATTTGTGCTCCAGCTGAATTTTTGTTAATATAATTATTGTTTTAGAAAAAAAAGAAAGTGGTCGAGGGATTACAAGAAAAAGTTAGCTTTACAACTAAAAAATAAAAAAAAGAAGGACAAGAAGTAAACGACTCGTTGCATTATGTTATCATTACTTTGCCATCAACAGTTACTGCTCATTGCTGGTGGTGACTGTGAGTGGTCCTACAATCAAGAAACAGAATTATTTCAACTTACGTAATATAATAACTGATCCGAAGGTAATATGCGTTTATCTTCTGTTTTGACAAGTGGTTTCTTCACTAAATGTCAGATGAGAACCGGCGAAATATATGTTAGAAACAACGTAATTGCCTAAATAAACAAAAACAATTTTTTTGTGTGTGTGAATAGGCGCACAGCGTTACAATGTTCTCGCGAACAGGTGAACTCCAGTTGTTCGCACGCACTGCACAAGCTTTCGTAAAAGATTAAAGCCTGTAAGATCAGCTGCTGATTTGGAACATGCGCTCGCTTCAGAATCCTGGAGAATTTCCCCAACACGCAACAAAAAAGCAAGAAAAAAAAGTGTAAATTGAGTATGATGGCACACTCGTCTGAAGCTGTTTAAACAGTTCCAAGACCAGTTTGCTCCTTCTTTTAGAGCTCGGTGTTTTTAGTGAGGCTCGGTGTTTTTACTTATTTTATTGTCGTTTGCAACTCTAAAAAATGCCAGTTGTGGAGCCTCCTTACTCGATATAGCCTTATGGGAAGCAAGTTTGTTTTGCTGTCAGGTGTTGAAATGTTTAGTCATGCGAGCGGATTTTTACATTTCGAGATTTACATTTGTGGGGATGTGGACTTTCATCCAATATTACCTTCACTAAACGATTGATACGCGAGAAAAGCTAAACAAATCGCACAAACTTCTTTGATGAGAAACAACATTTTATTGACAATAGAGCGTACAGGGAAGAAAAGTGTGTCGGCGATTAGAGTCAAACCTCACGGAGGTTAGGCCTTGCCAGTGTACGGGAAAGTCTTCGTTGCGATATCTCGAGAGGAAAAAGTTCAAAAACATATCGGACGTCGGGTATCTTTACGATGAGGCACTTGAATAGATTTTGCAATTAACAACTTGGATTGCTCTTCGATTGTACCGTATCCGCAAAAGCGAAACTGAAATCTTTCGTTTCGGTGGTGCAACCGTCGTAAAAATGTCGCGACTCATTGCTAGTGCTTATTTCATTTTTTCATATGCGTGATTTCGAATAAATTGTGAATTTCTAACCGAGAAAAGCTTCCTAAATTAAAACAACACAAAGGTCGTGTTGATGTAGCCCATAAGTCCCACTTAACAGCTTAGTAACCAGGATGCCTTAAACCTGTTTCCACCGATCGCGGTGCCGAGAGGAATGCCGGGAACAGTAGGTATACACAGCTGCTTGTAGCAGACAACGCAGGTGGCGGAGGAAACACGGACGAACGGGCGAGAAAGGCGAGCGCCTGCGCTGCACTATCGCTGTCTTTAGTGTCACGTGGTAAATGCTCACTACACTTCGTGGCCGAGCTACAGAATCGTCTTGTGCCGGGAAGGAAACCGGCTGCAAGTCTCCTTCTCTCCACTCCTTTTCGCACTTTACTCCCCTCCTCTCCTCACTGGAGTAATTCTCTGAGCTACTCCCCGCAAAAAAAAAAAAAAAAAGAGGGTCTCCCCTTACCTTGAATGGCAAGGAGGCCTTTAAGTCCAGACGCAGCCGACGCTACGAGCTGATGTGTCCAATCAGAGAGCGTCAAAAGCGTGTCATCGTGGTGTTCGCCATGTTCTGTACGTGTTCCATCAGCTCTGAACCGATCATAAACAGAAAAAGACTAGTTACTTGCGCTTTTGGCCCTGCGTGATTGGTCCCATCAGCTCGTAGCGTGCGCTGCTTCTAGGCTGAAGCTGAAACAAAGTATAAACTGTTTGTTTGGGCTAGGTGGTTGATGAGCAATTCGCAAAAGGACCCGGTCGAAGTGAAGACGAGGCAGTATTTTAACGCGAGATCGTTAAGGAGCTCGTGTCGCAGAGAAGCCGGAGTCCGCGGGACAATCCTGATTGGTCGATAGGGTCATGACGTCACAGCCACATGACCTCGCGCGGGAATTTCGAACACCCCACAAAGCTCACGTGAAACGTGATGTCACGCGTAGAATGAAAGCGATTAAAACATGACATGTAATGTGCATTAAAGGTCGCCGCATGTCACAAATGATTTCACTTTATAAAGTAATTAATTTGTCTGAAGGAAATGTTTAGAGAATTTTAGGCGGGATTGAAACTCACGACCCTTCGGTTGCGAGTTTTCTTGGCATCTCCGGGGAGAAGAGGAGAGCCCGCGTACAGCTTTAATCAGCGCTCAAAATGGGAGAGGGAACGCGTGCCTGTACTTTCCACTGCATTGCCAAGAAAAGTTGTCCCCGAGTATAGACCATTTTATCGTGGGTAGCGCCATTTTGAGAGCGAGGGAAAAGAGGGGACACTATTGGACACCGGCGCTTTTCCCCTTGCTGGTGCGTCAGAAAGAGTGAAAGTCCCGGATAGGAGGCATTGCCAGTGTTGGGTGTATGCATTGCCCGAACTTCGCTTGCGCTTTCTTCTCTTTTTTAAACACTAAACTTAATTTGGGCCACAGGCTTCGATGGCGACAGTCCCCCGGTCATCGGGACACCATTGCTCGGTTATAGGGTGTATAAATAAGGAGAGAAAGCGTCGAATTTTCTCCGAGGACCTATGTAGCTTGCACGGGATCCGGCAAGTGTGGCTGCAATGTCTTTAAGCTCCATCGCTTTCCACATGACTTTGAACTCCGGCGGGCCGCGGCAGTGGGTTGCGTCCGTAAACCGAAAAGACCTTTCCCCAACGCCTGCCTCTCGACTGTACTCGGAATATTTTGTGAATGAAGCGCACACCAAACGCTGCAGCGCCGATGAACATGGGGTACGCTCGCACCGCTACGCGCAACTGTTTGACGTGAGCGGTGGACGCGGGTATGCGCTGGCCTGACGTTAAGCCTAACGTTACGCTTTGAGGTTTAACGTCGTCAGCCGGTACTCGAAACTAGGGCGATGATGATGACGAGAGGACACGTGATTTCAGCGCGCGCCACGCCGAGTTTTGCACTCCCGTCATTGCCTCGACCAGCGGCGCAGCAATCACCAAC